TTTACCTATTATTTAATTACCAATGAATGTACTACTTTATTGGTATTTGGTACTGTATTAATATTCGGTCAAAATGGCCGATTTTTGTCAAATTCTACACAAAATTTATTGAAATTTCAAGGTGAATATTAATAAAACAATTATTACCAAATATTTTTATTCATTTAAAAGATTCATTTGTGGTATTGGGTTCCCCACTGAGTGCAGCCGAGCGGTACTAATGAGGGTCGGACCTTCTTGGGGGTGAACAATAGACGGCTTATCAGACCCTCCCCTCCCCCGTGGTCTGGAGAAAGCTTGTAAACAAACTATTGCAGAAGCGTGACTTGACATTGGGCTGCTTCAACTATAAATTTTGTCAAATGAACCGTGATGTTTCAAAATTAAAAAACAATAATTTGGGACCATACTGCTTAACAATAATGGACTGCAATTATTGTTGAACATACAATCCATTTTTAACAAACTAAGATTATACGATTCAAATACAATTATAAAAATTATCTTGGTATTTTACTTGGGGTAATGAAGTTATGTAGGCTAGTGTAATTCTGGGTTCATCAAGGTTCTACTGAATTATGTTTGGCAGTGAATAAGTGTAGAATGCAATTTATAAATTCAGGGATACACACCTTTTACAGAGTTATAAAGCCTAATTACCTACCATCAAATCGTGAGCTAAAACCCATCTTAGTGCATTAGTGATGTTTTCTAAACTTGGCAAACCCGCAAAATGCCACTTAAGGCCAATAATCCGTTCCAAAAACGTAAGGAAAAAAAATGTGAAAATAAACTTGAGATAGAAATCCTTGTCTTGTGAGAACCAGGAAACAAGATAAAACATAACCTCAAGTAAACAATCCCAAACGTTTGACATCAGTCCTGCTGAGCTAAGGTGTTGTGTGAAGATTTCGGCTGCTAGTGTATATATTCAAGCAACCAACTTTTGAAAATAAATGTTGTGAATAATTGTGATTTTCAAGAGAGAGAAAACTGTGGACTTGGCTAATTTGAAATTCTATAGTTCAAAATCGTCATTTAAGTTTATTTACTTAGCTTTACATTGTTTTATAGGTTAAAAATACATATGCAGCTTATTATCAACCGCGCCGAACTATCCGAATCCGAAAATATCCGAATCCGAACCTTCCAATATCCGATCCGATCCGAACCGAGCCTCAACTATCCGATCCGAATCCGATCCGAAATGAAATTTCACTATCCGCACACCTCTAGAAATGTTTAATACATCCTGAGTCAACAAAATAACCATAACATTTTTCCTTCATTCATAATTTATAGTTGTAGAAGCTATGGATTGAAAACTAGTGTAGGCCTAAGGTAACATATGCAAATCCAGCATCAGTCTAAAGGTTATTGACTAAGCCGTCCAGACACATTTGGTAGATTTTGGGCTAGTTCAGCAAAGTTCAAGGGCAATGAGGTGAGGTTCAAGGTTCTAAGATGGCCTTAGATGACTCTTAGTCCAGGACCTGACTAGGGTTCTGTGTGCATGTCGTGTATAGAGAATTTTGCTTTTGCATTTCAATATAGGTGTCTTAGGAAGTGTTTTCCACTCGGGTGTCAAGTTCGCACCTGGTACGTTTTCGAGCTATGACGTCATAAAGATGGCGGCTCGGCAATTTTTAAATGCGTATATTTCGCAAACCGTTTAACGGATCGGTATGATTCTTTTTTTGTTTGAAAGATATTTTTACAAACTATCTTTTTTGTATTTACACATTTGTTGTAAACTTAATATTCACCGCACAATATTGAAAAACGTCGTTTTTATTGTTATTATATTTATTGTTTTGCTTATAATTTCTTAACCGCTGATAAAATCAAATACCACCCGTGGCAAAAGTTTCAGATAATTCTATACCCTTTCCAATGATACCAAACAATATGTGATTGGACCTAAAAATAAAGCAAAGAGATTGAATAAACCGTAAAAAAACACTGAAAGTGGTGTACGGTCCGGGAAAGATTTAGTCCTGGACATGACTAGGGTTCTGTGTGCATGTCGTGTATAGAGAATTTTGCTTTTGCATTTCAATATAGGTGTCTTAGGAAGTGTTTTCCACTCGGGTGTCAAGTCCGCGCCTGTTTCGTTTTCGAGCTATGACGTCATCAAAATGGCGGCTTGGGCAATTTTTAAATGCGTATATTTCGCATACCGTTTAACGGATCGGGGTGATTCTTTTTTTGTTTGAAAGATAATTTTACAGGAAATGTTTTTTGTATTTACACTTTTGTTGTCAACTTAATATTTATCTCACAATATTAAAAAACGTGGTTTTTAATGTCATTGTTTTTTAAATTTACCTCATAACTTGTTAAACGCTTATAGAATGAAATAACTACCCATTACAAAAGTTGTAGATAATTTTATGCCCTTTCCAACGATACCAAACAATTAATGTTTAAAACTAAAATTAAAGCCAAGAGATTAAATAAACCATTAACTAACACGTAACATGGTAGAAAGTCCGGAAAATATTGCGGCTTGAACAATTCTTTAAATGCGTATATTTCGCATACTGGTTAACGAACCGGGATGATTCTTTTTTTGTTTGTAAGATATTTTTTAAGCCTATCTTTTTTGTCTTCACACTTTTGTTGTTAACCTACTATTTATCCCACAATATTAATAAATGTACATTTAATTGTTATTTTTATTTTACTTTTGCTAATAACTTTTTGACAAATAGTAGGTTAACAACAAAGGTGTAAATACAAAAATGATAGGCTTAAAAAACATCTTACAAACAAAAAAAGAATCATCCCGGTTCTTTAACCAGTATGCGAAATATACGCATTTAAAGAATTGTTCCAGCCGCAATATTTTCCGGACTTTCTGACATGTTAAGTGTTTGTTAACGGTTTATTTAATCTCTTGGCTTTAATTTTAGTTTCAAACATTAATTGTTTGGTATCGTTGGAAAGGGCATAAAATTATCTACAACTTTTGTAATGGGTAGTTATTTCATTCTATAAGCGTTTAACAAGTTATGAGGTAAATTTCAAAAACAATGACATTAAAAACCATGTTTTTTAATATTGTGAGATAAATATTAAGTTGACAACAAAAGTGTAAATACAAAAAACATTTCCTGTAAAATTATCTTTCAAACAAAAAAAGAATCACCCCGATCCGTTAAACGGTATGCGAAATATACGCATTTAAAAATTGCCCAAGCCGCCATTTTGATGACGTCATAGCTCGAAAACGAAACAGGCGCGGACTTGACACCCGAGTGGAAAACACTTCTTAAGACACCTATATTGAAATGCAAAAGCAAAATTCTCTATACACGACATGCACACAGAACCCTAGTCATGTCCAGGACTAAATCTTTCCCGGACCGTACACCACTTTCAGTGTTTTTTTACGGTTTATTCAATCTCTTTGCTTTATTTTTAGGTCCAATCACATATTGTTTGGTATCATTGGAAAGGGTATAGAATTATCTGAAACTTTTGCCACGGGTGGTATTTGATTTTATCAGCGGTTAAGAAATTATAAGCAAAACAATAAATATAATAACAATAAAAACGACGTTTTTCAATATTGTGCGGTGAATATTAAGTTTACAACAAATGTGTAAATACAAAAAAGATAGTTTGTAAAAATATCTTTCAAACAAAAAAAGAATCATACCGATCCGTTAAACGGTTTGCGAAATATACGCATTTAAAAATTGCCGAGCCGCCATCTTTATGACGTCATAGCTCGAAAACGTACCAGGTGCGAACTTGACACCCGAGTGGAAAACACTTCCTAAGACACCTATATTGAAATGCAAAAGCAAAATTCTCTATACACGACATGCACACAGAACCCTAGTCAGGTCCTGGACTATCTCAAGAATAGCAATATTTTTGCTATCCTTGCAATTACAGTTATGTTTAGTGCTCAGTAATCCAACATTTTTGACCTAGCAAAGTTTAAATATATTGAATTCAGCAGTACTAAGAATAAGCATGTAATCACTTCATTATGAGGGATGAGTATGCATTTTAAGCTAAGGCCTTTTTCACAAGCAGATCGCCTTTGACCAGGGAGAACCTTTCACACAAAGTCGGTTTCGTCTGGCACATATCGAGCAATGCTTCCACAGTAGATGCTCAGCTGTTGACATTAAAACCTCCCAAAAGAAAAAAGTGCTGGCAACATACCCAACTTTTTCTTTATTGATGCAGATTTTTCATCAAATGCAGGGAATAGCGCCTGATAGATTTCATTCCAAGCTTCTCTGTTCTTATTCATGTCCTTGTATTCCTCTTACCACTTGTCCCAAAGCAATTGCCGTTTTTCCACTTACATCATTATTGCTCCATATCAAAGTCTTCTTCACATTCAACTACCTCTACCTCTTGTGACTCACTAATTTTTGCTCACAAACTTAAATCCAAAAAAAGTAACACCAGTATATTTCACCCTCCAGTGGCAGATTGATTGATTGATTTTGTTTATGCGGACCTTGTGATGCACATCATCCGCTGATGGGTTTTTGTGCTCCCCGCTTGGTATGCCAGAGTCCTTCAAACCTGAGTTGCTTGATGAACCGCAGCATCCTATCCAGTGGCAGATGCGGGACTAGAGGTTGGGCCGTGCAGCGCGCGCTGGGACATGTGAAACTACTGATAAGAAGCAGTTGGTGCAGCGTGGTGCCACATGTCCGGCAGTCATTCGGGCTTCACACAGCTTTTTTTTCCGTGCGGCACACAGCTTTTTTTGCCGTGTGGCACACGCCAGATGGCATCTGAAAAGACCCATCTACTCCCATAGCCTATTGCCGCATCAGGAGGGCACTGCACAGCGCCTACCAGATCATGTGAAAGAATGATGGGTCCTACTATGAATGATGGGTAAATTTGTAATGGATTTAGATACATTCACGTTTTGATAAACTGAATAAGATCAGCTGTTTTTGTAGAATGTCTTGAACAAGTTCTTACACAAGTGACTTGAAAAGTCCTGAATGAATTCTTACCTATAAGTGACTTGATATGTTCCAAGACATTATTGTCTGAACTGATCTGGTTGAGTTCAGTGCACAGCTTGGCATAACCTTCACTCTCCTCTCTGAACAAGTTGAACTTCCTCTGTTTATAGCTGGAACAATAACCAGATTAATTACTACAACTGTAGAGAAGTGTTTCACTCTTCTATTCTACCAATCTAGAAAAGAAACCCTATGCTAAGGTTGACAGATTACAAGGCAGTCTGCTGCAAGAGAGCCAATTTTTTGGGGCAGTTGTACCAGGTGGCAATATCCTCTTGTTAGAACAATCTCAGATACTAGGTTTGGTCAAGTATTTAGGGCTGGGGAATGTGCCCTAGGCAGGACTGAACACTATTGATCTTTTAGGTCACAGTGTATCCTTCCCTCATTAACATCAGTTATCAGTAAGTCAGTAAGTACACTCAAATGCACAATCGGGTTGTCATGCAGGAGCCTTGAGTTCACTACAATTACTAGTACCTAATAATTAGGGATGGTCAAGTCTCGAAATTTCGGGAAATTTTAATTCTCGTTACACGAGACGAGATTTCTTTTTGGCCGAGATTTTTATCGAGACGAGAATAAAAAAAAAAAAAATAAAAAAAATTAATAACGCCTGCAGAAAGTCAATGCAATACCCGCAATACAGGAGTGTGTTGTAGTTGCGTTTCCTTTGCGAAGGCGTCTTAATTTTATAAATTCTTTCAATGTAAATATTCATTTAATTATTTTAATAATATTACTTTAATAACATTTGAGAAGTTTTGTCAAGTGTAAGCAGTGTGAGGAATTTTTTATTACTATAAAAAGTCAAAACAAGTAACTATTTTATAAAAATTAATATTGCTTTTATTTTATGATTTATTTTATTTTAGGATAAGTTGAACTCTATCCTAACTGATATCACTATGTTTCCTAATCGTAGGCATTTTTAATAAGTTAGGCGTGATTAATAAAAAAATGTTATGCTGATGTTTTTTAATAAAATATTGTAAATATTCTTGCCTATTATCATTATTTTTGTATTTAAACAGTCATCTAACAATGTTACAAAATCAGGTAAAAATTTTGAACGCGCATTTCCCGTTGTGTATGAGAAGGGAAATCCCGTCTCGATCTCGTCTCGTCTCGTCTCGAACTAAAAATCCAATCTCGTCCATCCCTACTAATAATATAACTTATGTACCAGTAAAATTATAAATGAAAAGACATTTACATTTCAATACTTACTACAACTTTGTTTTCACTTTGATGAACTTAGTGTAGAAATTACGATTATTGAGAACCTTGAATTCTTGCAAAGAGTCAATTTCTAGTCGCTCCTTTAGAAGCTTGTCAGTAAAAATCTGGAACAAATTTAAATGCCAATCGCTCAAAACGAAACACACTTATTACCAGGAAGGGAAAGACATATTTCTTAGTAATTTTTAAAAGGAAAGAAATTATTAAATAACTACCATAATTTTAGAGCAGAATCTTGCTAGGACTTTATAAATAAGTAATCAAAATTCATGTTTCTGGCCCCTGGACTATATTGTTACGACTCACATATTGTGACACTTAGTGAGTGATAATAGTAGAGGAGACGACGTGGCGTAGACCTCCAGTCTGCTACCAACCCCGCGCTGCGCCGGACCAAATCTGTATCACGATAGCGCTATCTAAATGTTTATTGTGTATTCGTACCATTTTAATGTTATTTGTATTCGTGTTGTCCGTGTTTTAAATGTGTTTTTGACAAGTTGCAAGCTTTGAAAATGTTGTCTTCGCAACAAAACATGTAAGCTGATGAGTAATTAATCTTTGGACTATTTGGCGGAGTATGTAAAAAACCTATTATTGTCATAAATAAGTAGACCTTTGTATAGAACATCAGACACTATATAAATTGTCTTTGCAGCCAATTTATATAGAATGGGTGGATCTATTGCTCTTCACATTGGCATTATGTCATTGGGCTACAAATTAACTATGCTGTCTAACAGGTTGATGAACTTTAGTAACAAGCTGGTCATAGTAGGTGACAAAACTACACAGATTATCTAATTCCATTCTACAAATCTTTCATCCATATTCAGTTTAAAATACACACCTAAGACCTAAGTGTGTGTTGCTGTCACAAAGGATGAATTGATTGATAATAAATCAAAACAAAGGTTTAACAATTCTAAAAAAAAAAGTTCAAATAGAGTTAAAAATACACAAACAAAATTAATCAATTATACCTTAAGAAGCTACATCCAAAAGTACAGTTTTCAACCTCATACAAAGCTTTGTCAAAAATCAATGCAGTAGGCTTCCATTTATCTATGAGTGGATTATCCAAACTGCAGAGTAACCATGATCACAAAAACCAAATTAAAAAAATATTCTATGCAAATCAAAAGTACATTATACAGTGACTAGGATGTTTTGTGTAAGGCCCAGCATCAAATGAGCAGACTATAGAGTTGCCATTGTTTACTTTATCGACCACCAATGAATCAATTCTTACAATAGTTGTTAACAAGTTACACTTTGTGTGTATTTGAATTTTGTTTTTACTAACTAGGCATACATACTCTCTCCAATATAGACAATTTTGTTAATAGATCTGTGTGGAACAAAGTTTAAAGGTAACTACACAGCATTTATAATGTTTTATCATGATCTAAACTTGGTTTAAAGCTTAATAATTCAACGTCAACATTCAAAGCTTAACATTCAAAGTCAATGTTAGTTATTTTCTCAAAGCATTTTACGTATAGTTTACCTTATCCACAATCACTCAGCCACTCGTTAACGTAGATAATTGTGAGTTACAGTTTTACAAGGTAACAACCTCTTTTAGTTAACTAAGCCAAATTAATCAATCAATGTTGATCGATAAAATTGTACCTTTTCAGACACCTTGATGATGTATCCGAGAACAGCTCTCTCGTCCCCAGATGTCTCCATGGCGCTGGTCTCAGCGTCCACAACATTGATCACATCTAGGATTACAGATGCCACGTCCTTGTGTAAAGGCTGAAATTCACATAGGCCTTACAACTTTTGGTTTCACTACGTATATATTTAAATACAAGTATTATATTGTAAAAAAAAAAATACTTATTTAAATGTAAACCACAGTCTGTCTTTAAATTAATTAAAGCCTTTTCCTTTCTAAACTAATTAAACTAAAATTATTTAATTAAGTTAAGTTCTTAACTCAATTGGGGCTGCAATCTATATTTCTGTCTAAACTAAAAATTACACCCTTACAAAAAAATTACCCTTACACAATTTATTTTTATTTTTTTTATTTATTCACTACATGTCATTACATCATTTGACAGGACATAAAGTCATATACAGGATAATACTAAAACTAAGAAATAACAAAAATGTCTTACTAAATTATTAATCTAACTTAACGTCCCTATTTAAATAACATTCGATAGGAAAAAAATTTTTTGTTTTTAACCAGGTCTTCAGGGTGGATCTGAACTGTGTTTTACTATCAATATTTTTTATGCGGAGTGGTAACTTATTGTAAACTTGTGGGCCTATATATTGGGGAGATAAATGAAATTTCTCTAATCTATGGGTTTCAGGCTTAATATAACTCTTAACACGTTCGCTAAGTACTGCAATAGTACAAAATTTTCCATTCACATGGACCAGCGACGCACATATGCGACGGCCGGTTTCTACCCATAGACTGCCGTCGCATATATGCGACGGCTAGTCACATTAAAATAGACTGCCAACGCATTTTTGCGTCGGGGTTCTAATGTTATTAAAATGCTGCCACCATTAGTTTCCCAGGACAAAATTACAGCAATACGTTTCCAACGACCTAACAGCAAACGGCAAAGAAGCCGTATGATGCGATACCGATAACTAGTTTAGTCGTTATCGGCTGTTTTGCTTTACGATTAGATTCGTCTGGAACGAACAGACATAAAGCAGAAAAGAACTACCATGGTCAAATGAAAGTCAACTCATGCTTGGCTTGTCTCGCTCCTGATACTTACTAGGGGCGCTGCGTAATAGTTTTTTTTACAGTACTGTTTCAAAGTAGAAAAATCTAGCCTACTACTGTGATGTTACGTAAACAATAGATTTAATGTTTCCCGGAAAAAAGTCAGAATAGAAACAACAGAAAGGCAACACAATAGAAGGGTGGGAGGGGTTGGGCAATGACCTCGAAAGGAGCGCGGGTAGTGAGTCAAGTAGGACCGGAGTGGGAATGGGTGGGTAAGACCTTGAAGCTATATATAGACTTGCACTAACTTCCCTAAACCTAAAGGACTGGCCGGCGAGTGGTATTCCAATCACAGGACAAGATACGTTGTTTTTTGGGTATTCATTGCCCAGTTTAACTTTGGATTGTCTTACTGTGTAGAAACTTTGAATAATAAAAAATAAAGTTAGAACTAACCACGATTATTTAGCATTGATTGTGTACATATTAAATGATTAAACAATAGGGACCATGGATATATACAAACTTTTGTCGTGATTTTAATTTCAACATCAAAATACAATATTGCACAATCGTGACATTTTAGGTCATTGGCCTTTATTATGCATCAGGTATTGCTGTTTCAGAAGAGAAGCACGTTGATAAATTATAAATTGATATTCCCGTAGTTAAAAAGAATTATTTTATAAACCTATAAAACAAAATCATAAAATCTTACATAAAGATAACAATAACAGAAATTGTAAAAACTGTATAAAGATAACAACGTCGTTGTTCTTTCTCTTTGTTCTTCTATTTCTTGGGTTTCCCTTCATCACGCATTCAACAAGTTGCCATGGTTACTAATCACCCATGTCGTTATCAGCTTTTGTGACATAGCGCACAGCAGGGGGTAAAACTTGACGAAAATAGGTTAATGTTTACCTATTATTTAATTACCAATGAATGTACTACTTTACTGGTATTTGGTACTGTATTAATAATCGGTCAAAATGGCCGATTTTTGTCAAATTTTACACCAAATTTATTGAAATTTCAAGGTGAATATTAATAAAACAATTATTACCAAATATTTTTATTCATTTAAAAGATTCATTTGTGGTATTGGGTTCCCCACTGAGTGCAGCCGAGCGGTACTAATGAGGGTCGGACCTTCTTGGGGGTGAACAATAGACGGCTTATCAGACCCTCCCCTCCCCCGTGGTCTGGAGAAAGCTTGTAAACAAACTATTGCACAAGCGTGACTTGACATTGGGCTGCTTCAACTATAATTTTGTCAAATGAACTGTGATGTTTCAAAATCAAAAACAATAATTTGGGACCATACTGCTTAACAATATAATGGACTGCAATTATTGTTGAACAAACAATCCATTTTTTACAAACTAAGATTATACGATTCAAATACAATTATAAAAATTATCTTGGTATTTTACTTGGGGTAATGAAGTTATGTAGGTAGGCTAGTGTAATTCTCGATTCATCAAGGTTCTACTGAATTATGTTTGGCAGTGAATAAGTGTAGAATGCAATTTATAAATTCAGGGATACACACCTTTTACAGAGTTATAAAGCCTAATTGCCCAACATCAAATCTTGAGCTAGAGCCCATCTTAGTGCATTAGTGATGTTTTCTAAACTTGGCAAACCCGCAAAATGCCACTTAGGCCAATAATCCGTTCCAAAAACGTAAGGAAATACAATGTGAAAATAAACTTGAGATCGAACTCCTTGTCTTGTGTCTAGAACCATGAAACAAGATAAAACATAACCTCAAGTAAACAATCCCAAACGTTTGACATCAGTCCTGCTGAGCTAAGGTGTTGTGTGAAGATTTCGGCTGCTAGTGTATATATTCAAGCAACCAACTTTTGAAAATAAATGTTGTGAATTGTGATTTTCAAGAGAGAGAAAACTGTGGACTTGGCTAATTTGAAATTCTATAGTTCAAAATCGTCATTTAAGTTTATTTACACAGCTTTACATTGTTTTATAGGGTAAAAATTCATATGCAGCTTATTATTAACCACGCCGAACTATCCGAATCCGAACCTCCCAATATCCGATCCAATCCGAACCGAGCCTCAACTATCCGATCCAAATCCGATCCGAAATGAAATTTCACTATCCGCACACCTCTAAATATTACATTTAGAATACTCATTTGCCAGTCAATTCTTCAATGTACTTTATACTACATAAAACCAGGGATAACGTTACCTATAATAATTAAGACTTTGTAGTTACGTCTTAGAAAGATGAAATCAATTCTTTTACGGTGCAATTTGCAAACTTTGTGTATAGGAGATGGCTCAAATTAAAGGAATGGAACTTAGAATGGATAATTTTAAGGTTAATTTTGTGTTGAATCAATGTTTAACATGAAATAGCCACATTGACTATAATAAACGATTCATGATTAAAACATCTGCTCTGTTTTGATTTTAAAACATAGGTATGTTAAAGATTTATTCTACACTTTTATTTATTTCAACATTTATATTTGAGATTTATTGTAGTGTTTAATCAATATTTTGTATGACGTGGAATAATCTGAACGGTCACTCTTAGTAAAACAAGATGGGAATAAAGATAAAATAGGTTCGTAAAGGTATTTGTTCATTAAGTAAGTACTATGACAAGTTCCAATCAGTGGAAAAAACAATATTGTTTGGAGGATATTTTTAACCAGGTACAAGAAGAAAATACCCCCGCCGCAGCAAACCTGCAGACTAAGCGAATTTCAACTTGTCTGATTACATTTTTACTAAAATATTTCCATAAATAAGACATATTTATTCCCAATTTAAATTACATTAGATTTAACAAGTGCTTAGGTTTGCTGCTACGGGGAAGGTAAAAAGTGTTTTTTGACCATATGTCAATAGTATAGGATGAAATAAATAAATTTGCCAAATTTTGTCAATATATATCCATAAACAAGTAAACTACAACAGTTTTCATTTTCTCCATAAGAATAACATGGGAATTTTAAATTACACTTTTTTTTATTTTCTCCGTGACCGTTAGGCATACAACAGCGCTTCAATATACTAAATTATTTCTTTTTTTAAGCTCTACAAAATGGTTGAGAAAGAAATTGCAAAATTTTTTGTTTTTAGGGTAAAAAATGGGACAAACCCATTTTTACCCCATAAAACCCTTCATAAACCCCTGTTCCCATGGTCCGATTATGCTGGTTCGCGAAAAAACGTAGGTTTACACGTTTGAACCAAATTTCATCAAAATCGGATCATTTTTGCTCGAGTTATCGCGCTAACGGACACATATATAAATATATATATATAAATATATATATATATATATATATGAATTTGAACGGATGGTGTTTTTGGTCTCTGGGGACCTCAAAACGAAAAAGTAAATCGGTCCCGGGTCTAGGTCTTACCATGAGACCTACGGTAATAGCTTATTCCCTATATGGGAAATTCGCTAAAAGGGTCCATTTCTTAAAACTAACCAAAAATATGCATTTCGAAGATGCTGATGAAAAGTAATTTTGTGATTGGCTTCGATAACTAGGTAATGGAACCCTAACCAGTCTCAAAATAGTTAGGAATCAGCCGTTGATTGGGCCCTTTTTTTATAGAAATGTAAAGTCAATTGCACCTTTAGGAGGAATACCACATCATAAACTTACACTAGGCTTATAGTAGTTTGTTTGAATGTTGATCAGAAAGAAATATAGGGTTAAGTTTGGTCAATGGAATGCCTTTACTTTACACTAATTTTGTTCAACCTTTACAAAAAGGGGCACGAACTTGGAAATAATAACTGGGTCGGGGTTCTAATTTCGCGGTTTTGAACAAGAACTAAGCTTATTGCCCAACTTTATTTGCCTTTTCATATTTGACGAAGACAATTTCCAATATTTTAATCAGGGAAGTCTTTTTAACATCATTAACCAAAAGACCAACGCTACCTTAGTAAACCAATATTTATTCACAATTTACATGTTTGCTGCCTTTAGCAGAGTTAAACCTCTGGAGTCATTCAAATTATTTATTGGAAATAACATCATCAAAAGCAAACCAAGACAAACAACAAACTGTTTTTACACAAAAAAGATAAGTTGTAGGCCTACTGGGATATCTATCCTGGCACAATAGATAACTTGATTCTGAGTTTGTTTAAATATTACAATAATTTGTTTTACATTTGAGCTTTTTAGGGACTTATGTCCCTACAAGCCACTAGTTCTATTTAAATAGGAAATAAATTTCATATTTTTAAGGAGACATTTTAGTGTAAACCCAATCAGTTAAATGGAAATTTGCTTAGTCTGCAGGTTTGCTGCGGAGGGAGTATTTTAATATTGTGCTTGGTTTTGTTAAAACAGTGTTGAACGGTGCATAATTTATATTGTAGGCTATCTGAGCATCAATGGGACTTGATTCAAAGCATATAATTTTACATAATACTAGTACAACTCTAGCCAAATAGCTAGAGATATCTCAACAAAAAGTATAGCCTTTGACTGTTGAGTGTTGATTCAAAGAGACTTTCAATCATCATGTTAAATTTGTAGCCAGATTTTTAATCAAAATCGTTGTAAATGATGTGAGCTACCGACACAGATTGTGCTGATAAAAATTACAAATTTCTGTCAATGTTAACATTTTTTAACAAGCCACACTAATGAAATGACTTATTTTGAGCTATAGGCCTAGCAAGTGTTATGGCCCATTAACTTGGTCATAAACAAAAAAAGTAGAAAATAGATTTTAGACACTAGCACATTTTATGATTGGCCAACACAACTACATTCTTTTAAGCTATAATAAAAAATTGGCAACAGCTGGTCCATGTACATGGGATGTTTACTTAATTATCCAAAATTCAAGGGTATAGCCTAGATTATGTTTAGTTTTGAGCATAACAAGTAGGCCTATAACTTATACAGTATTAAACTTATTAGGTCATTAACAAAAGTTTTACTTACAACCAGTTCTGATATCATAGAAACGACAGCATCCTTCTTTAACACTCCTTTGACACCACTCCATATCAGATTGTGAACTGCCCTGCTGAATTCTGCAAAAATATGGCTTTTAGAAGGTTGGTAACTTTAAATTAGTCTATTACAGTTACCAATAGGATGGTTAGCAGGAAGTAACCAACGGCCAAATTAAAAATACCCCCGCCGCAGCAAACCTGCAGACTAAGCGAATTTCTATTTGCCTGATTGGATTTGCACTAAAATGTCTCCTTAAAAATATCACATTTATTCCCTATTTAAATAACATTAGTTTAACGAGTACTTAGGTTGCTGCAACAGGGAGGGTAAAAAGATGTTTTTTGTAAAATGGTAATAGTTTAGTATGAAATGAATGCATTTTCCAAATTTTATCAAAATATGTTCATAAACAAGCAAAGTACAACAGTTTTCTTATTCTCCATAAGAATAACATGGGAATTTTAAATTTACAGTTTTTTTGAATTTTCTGCGTAACCATTAGGCGCATAATAACGCTTCAATATACTAAATTATTTGTTTTTTTAAGCTCTACAAAATGGTTTGGAAAGAAAATGCTAAATTTTAAGTTTTTAGGGTAAAAAAATGGGAAAACCCAATTTTTACCCCTTAAAACCCGAACCCCTGTTCCCATAGTCCGATCATGCTGGTTGGCGAACTCGTTCGAATAAACGTATGTTTACACGTTTGTACCAAATTTCATCAAAATCGTATGATTTTTGCTCGAGTTATCGCGCTAACGGACACATATATAAATATATATATACATATGAATTTGAACAGATGGTGTTTTTGGCCTCTAGGGACCTCCAAACGAAAAAGTAAATCGGTCCCGGGTCCAGGTCTTATTATGAGTACTACGGTAATAGCTTCCCTATAGGGGAAATTCGCTAAAAAAGTATAAATTCTCTAAATATTGTGTAGCCTATAGTTTTATTTATTTTATTATTTTTTATTTATGATGCAATCTATCAGACTAAATCTGGCAAACATGCAGAATTCAAGTTTGAAGTATGATAATTGAGTCATTTCAAATTTATTTAAATTGTTATAAAAATCATGAACTTATTAGGGATTATTATTGTTGTTATTGCCATATGAGATGGGGACGCCTCCTATGTGCGTATTTTAACACAAATATGAGTGAAGGATGAGTGAAGGATGAGTGAAGGATGAGTGAAGGGAGTGTTCTGCCTTGTGTAACTTTGTTACTGACTACCAGCTATTTCATTAGTTAGGACCACTTATTGAAGCCCAATGATCCAGGACTGCTGGATCCAGTTTCGAACCATCAAAAAGCTACACACTTTTCTCAGGATCGAACCGGCAACCTTTTGATTACAAGGCAAGCACTATAATTCAGATTAATAGATATAAGTTAGATCTAAGCCTATTAAAGAGATGATACCATTTTTATCCTTTTAACCATGATGAATTAAGTTACCAATGCAAAACAGGATGGATACAATTTGAACATGCATGGAACATTTAACAAGCATAAAGTGTTCAAAACAGAAACTCATAAAGCAGTATTAATTAACTAATAATACCTGATACGTATCCAGTCTTTGCAAACGCAGGGCTTGTGTCAGGGACATTGCACAGCTTTGTGCAAAGCTTTAAGCTGAAACAAGACGTATTCTAATTATCTAAATAGAATATATTTCTAATTTTTACTTATTTATTTACAAACAGCCATACACCATTAACAAAAATTTTGTACTTGGTATTATCCGGAGGCCACATACCTATTTTACAGGTATTTTTTTACCAGAGACCAGAAATAACTAGATAATTGAAAAGTCTGTACTTTAATTGACTTACTGTCCAAATTTGACATGATTACGATTAGCGGCCTATGATCTCTGCCTCCCAGAAGGCAGCGATGTCGGTGAGGAAAGAGTTGAATGCGTCACCGGGCTCCTAGCTGCCACATGTACTTTGCAAAGTAGGTATACAGCGTGCTGCGACGGTTATGTTAGGTTGGGTTGTCATAAATATGTTTGTAAGACTTTACTCGTTTTGAAATGAATCAAACGATATCAGATGAGTCATCACTCAGGACACTGACCCAGATACAGGCGCGGTGACATGTGACGCGCATGGTCCGGTCAACGACCTGACCTTCGCCTACTTGGAAGGGATTTGGCGGACTAAAGTATGACTTGTGTATCGTTCGATTCATAATGAAGTGAGGAAAGTCCTTCAAACATATTTTATGATAACCCAACCTAACATAACCGCCGCAGGACGCTGTATAAGGGTGGCCTCTGGATAATACCAAAGTACCAAAATTTTTACAAAAATGACGACAGCAGAAACAATGTTCAGTTTTACAGTAAAAATTAATACAAAAATTTACAATAAAGGAAATATGGATACAGTAGTTAGAATTGTCATATATTGTCAAGGAAATTAGGCAAATTCATACAAAAGTTTTTTCAAGGAAATTTGGAAAATTTTTTTTATTTGCCTAATTTTCTTGACAATAAGTTAACAACAATAAGTTAGTGTGACAATTCTAACTACTGTAGGCTATCCATATTTCCTTTATTGTCCATATTCAAGATGAATTTTAACTACCTATCTTAACTAGGCCTACAGGATTTTTAATAGAGATGCTAGTTCTATCCCTTCAAGTAGCCTAAGTATAACATATTATAAATACTAGCTGTTGTACCCGTGCTTTGCAACGGGAAGAGGACACAAAATAGAAACATTTTAATCTTTACATCTGTTGCATATAATAGTTACACAACCGCCAACGCTTTTAGAAACAAAATTGATCTTTTATAGCCTTAATAGAAACGTTTAAGTTATGACTTTTAAATCTGGTAAATAGTGGATACCACCATTTTGGTTTTGATTATTTTTAAATCTTGTGTAGGCTGATATGAGGAAAACTGACCAAATCTTCAAATAAAACTTTGACTGCTGTGCCTTATTAATACAGTCTTTTGAAATATTAAAGAAACTATATCTATAGGTACTATAAAAAACTTTAAACAAATAATTTAGCATTAAAGACAGCAGACAAAACTAATATGATTATCAAAGCATCAAGGACTAAAAAATGTAATAGCAAATGCAGTATTACAGTCCAACCTCAGTATAACGAATCTGAAGGGACCGAACTGAATATTCGTTATATCAAGGATTTCGTTAAAACGAGGTTCGTTATATAGAGGTTAGGTTTGCAGGAATTTCGCTAAGTCGAGGCTCAGAACCAGCGTCGGTCAATATAGGCCAGGATTTGACCTCATTAAAACACAATTTAAGTAGCATAGGCTACAATACTTTACAGTACAGTGTTCATTGTACAGTAGAACCTTCTGTATCCAATAGTCAATGGTAGAACCTAAACTATCCGGCATAATAAAGGTGAGGGATCTTGAATATTGCACAATCATGACAATGGCATTGACCTTGGTACAGGTTAAAAACTGTAAGTTTAAAATCACAGCTTGTTCTAACCCTCCTAAAACCTAGCCAAACACTACATTGCGTAGTCATAAACCATGTAAAAAACAAAACAAAACAGTAGGCCTAGAAAGTTTTGTAAGCTACTGACTGCTCCGTGATAGGCCGGTAGGCTACTTACAGTACAGTAGGCCTACTGATTTATCACAACAGAGGAATGTCAATAATAATTAATCATTAACTATAGCATTGGTGTTGCTAGTTGAAACAAATCGTATTGAAAACAATAAATTATTAGATAAGTCATTATAAAAGTGCATATTCATAGCCAAGTTAAAGATAATAAAAAAACACTCGTAAATTAAGGAATGTTAAAATAACAATGTTGCTATTCTTTCTCTTTGCTTTTGTTTTAGCGAATTTCCCTATAGGAAAGTAGCTATTACCGTAGGTCTCATGGTAAGACCTGGGCGCGGGACCAATTTACTTTTTCATTTTGATGTCCCCAGAGGCCAAAAACACTAATCGTTCAAATTCATATATATATATTTATATATATATATATTTATATATATATATATATATATATTTATATATGTGTCCGTTAGCGCGATAACTCAAGCAAAAATGATCCGATTTTGATGAAATTTGGTACGAACATGTACACCTACGTTTATTCGAACGAGTTCGAAGGTGCATGATCGGACTATGGGAACGGGGGTTTATGGGGGGTTTTATGGGGTAAAAATGGGGTTTTCCCATTTTTGACCCTAAAAACAAAATATTTTGCAATTTCTTTTTAAACCGTTTTGTAGAGCATAAAAAAATTAAATAATTTAGTATATTGAAGCGCTGTTGTATGCCTAACAGTCACAGAGAAAATTCAAAAATAGTGTAATTTAAAATTCCCATGTTATTCTTATGGAGAAAATGAAAATTGTTGTAGTTTACTTGTTTATGGATATATATTGATAAAATTTGGCAAATTTATTTATTTCATCCTATACTATTGACATATGGTCAAAAAACACTTTTTACCTTCCCCGTAGCAGCAAACCTAAGCACTCGTTAAATCTAATGTTATTTAAATCTTACTAATATTATAAATGTGAAAGTTTGTGTGTTTGTTTGTTTGTTTGTTTGAAGTTCAATCACGCATTAATTACTGGACGGATTGGGCTGAAATTTGGCATGATGATAGCTTACATTCCCGATTAACATATAGGCATATTCTTATCTTAAAACTCCTTTCGGGCTCTGCCCCAGTGGCTCTAGAGTTTCCCATGTTAACCTTATGAGTACTCATATTTAAATGGAATTAAAGAATTTAGGCCTAGTCAACTGTTGCAACTAAAATTGTTAGTTCTATGGTATGCAAAAGCATTAAAAGTTATAAGATTTACCAACAGGGCGCAGCCCAATTTTTTTAAATTTATGAAACAGCTAAATTGAATTAAGCAGCAACAAAAAACTGTGATACCCAATGAGAACCTTCTGTTTACAGTTTTGTTTATATTTTTAATTTCACGAATAATTTGTGATATTTTGTGAATCTTTAATAATTAATGTTTTTCTATTGTTTGGGTGAAGTGGTAAAACATTATAGCTATGGTAGGCCTAGATGTGTAATACTGTGTGTCCTCCCCCATTGCAAACGCAAATGTTGAGTATAACTGTACTAAGCATTTTATACTTATATGCCGATTCCGTACGAAGGACGGGTGCTCTGCTAGTAGGGAATAAAAATATATCTTATTTATGGAAATATTTGAGCAAAAATGTAATAAGACAAGTTGAAATTCGCTTAGTCTGCAGGTTTGCTGCGGCGGGGGTATTTATATTCTTTCTTAGATTTCTCTTTATCCAAAAATTTTACAATTCACCATATTTACTTATCACCCAATTACAGCTTACTACAGATTACGTCGTCATCAGTCCTCAGTGAATGAAATCAGTTCTCAGTTGCAACATTGTGTGCGCAGCGACAGCAGACAGAGAGATGTGTAAAACGGAGCAGACAAATGTTAGCGCAAGGGATGACGTCACCTTTCCATTTCATTTGATAAAGAAACAGATTTTCCAAAAACAATACTGGGGTGGGGGATTTGTTATATCAAGGGAAAGACGTAGACAATTCGTTATGCAGAGGTTAAATTCGCAATGTAGAGGTTCTGACAATGATAAATTCGTTATATTGAGGTGTCTTATTTTAGCCGAAATCACGAGAAATTCGTTAAATCAAGGTCGTTGTTATGGTTTGTTCGTTACGTCACAGAAAACGTACTACTATAACCCAGAATGCCAACCGCATGGTAAAAAGCATTAAGTGTTTTTAGCATGGCAACGCTGGTGGCGCTGCCTACGGTTTGACAGGCAAAGCTCTCTCAAAACGCTTAATGCTTTTTACCATGCGGTTGGCATTCTGGGTTATAGTAGTACGTTTTCTGTGGTTACGTAGAGGTAAAATATACATAGTCTCTTATGGAGAGTTATAGGGGATTAAAAAAAATTCGTTATATCAAGGAATTTGTTATATTGAGGGGATTGAGGTTCGTTATATCAAGGTTAGACTGTACATGTTTCATTGCACCTCTATCTGATTCTACTCTACAAAAATATCAACAAACAATTTAATATACGTAAACCAGTTCTTTTAATCAGTTCCGTCGCCATTGCCTTTACATTTTCACACTTACCATTAAGTAAACATAGTAAGAGATAGGCCTATATCATTGATTTTAGAAACAAAAGAACACTACGTACTGCTTAGTTTTATGATATTTTCCTTAGTTTAACTTTATCAGTGGTGTGGCAAAACACAAATAATAAATGTAGCCTATCAAATAAAGTAAATGGGAACTGAATGCTATGTTAAGATAAAATAAGAGTATTGTGTATTACCATTTGATAATTAAATATAGTTACACATATACAACAGATTTTAGAAAAAAAATCAACAATTCAGTTATTGATGAGTTTTTTGTTGTTTAAGTAGCCTATCAACTTACTTTAAATTGTAAATAGCCTACAGTAATGTCTGTGTAAATAAATGTTTTACAACTTAGGCTTATATTTATATGTAGCGTTTGCAGATTTTAGTAAGCGTAAGAAAGGGCTAACTGGGACGGGTGGCGTCGTCCTGTAATCCAGCTACTAGGAGGTCACAAATTGTGGATATTTATAGGCATGCACTGTGGATGCGATACTTCCTGATGTGGATTAACGTCCGCACGAGTGAGAAGGCGTACTACGACTATCTGCAGTACTATCCTGATAATTAGACCAATCCATATATACCAAGGCAAAAATGTGGTTCGGATTCCACTATAAACTGCAGGTCCCTTGCCATTATAGTCCTCGCCACCCTAACTTGAGGCAGCCCAAGGCCGCACGCCGTACATCTAGATCGGCCTTGGGCTGCCTCAAGTTAGGGTGGCGAGGACTATAGCTGTATGGGCTATTAATTAACAGCTGGGGTACAGTTTCTTAACTGGGCTACGCTAATATTGATTGAAACTATCAATTCGATTAGTAGGCCTAAACCTTCATGCGATTTTTCACCATTCAGCAAGTTTGGTTGGTTAGGTTAAACTTAGGTTATGATAGTTTAATTTTATAATAGATAGCCTACATTTTAAAATATCAATTAGGCTATTAATCAATATTTTCAATTCGATACTTTCAATCAATATTAGCGTAGCCCAGTTAAGGAACTGTACCTACCCAACAGTTAAGGAATGTCGGCCTTAGTCACTAACAAGACTACAAGATCGTGCCACTCATCCTACACTCATCTCCATTCATACTTCCGGCTTAAAATACCTAACTTACTTTGTATGGTTGCCATTTAATAAGAAAAGTAGGAAGTTTAAGTATTAACTTTACTTTTTGAAGTACCGGTAAAGAATTTTTATTTCAAAACAAAAAAGTTAATCGGCCTCAGGTCCAGTTTTAAAGAGGACTAGGTACTCGTTAGGCCTAATTTTAGTCAAAATGGCAATCATGCAAAGGTAGGCTAGGTATGTTAAGCCAAGTACTTTACTTAATAATTTACTTTGAAATTTAAATATCCTATTCGAATGGGGATGAGTGTAGGACGAGTGGCGCAATCCTGTAGTCACTAGGCATAGACCAGAGACCTATTAGGGGAAATTGGTAAAACACAATCCAAAAGAATAGGGATAGGGTCTATAAATCACCAAATTTAATCTTCAGATTTGGCCTATAATATTTTCCTAAAAGTTATTTTTTAAGTGACCCGTGTAAAGATGGGAAACCGCAATCCAACCTTCTTCCCACCATAACTTAACACTAAACATAAATAGGTAATATAAACTTACAAATCGTGTTTTCCTTGTTTATCCCAACTCTTGAACATTTCGCGATCAGAAGCCATCAACAGTTAACACATTGATACTTGATGGTTTTGTTTAAATATTAAAACAAACTGGTGTCGACAATCATAAAGCTAAGAAAATAGCAGTATGACTATGTATTAGCTCTGCAAAGCAAAGCAAGCGATTTGACGATCCGTCAGAGTCAGCTCAACAAGCAGCAAGCAGCAAGAGCTAGACCCCAACCGGTATTTACTCAGGGGAGGTATAGAAGAGCCTACGATGACAGCTGTGGGCTTCTTATTAGCTGAGGGAACGCCATTACCGTAACAAAACGATCAGTAGTAATCGGCCTCGGTGGTCTAATGGTTAGCGTGCCGGGATGATATGCTGAAGGTCCCGGGTTCAAATCTCGCTCGTGGCATTAACTTTTTGTCCAAGATTTTTTTATTATCAGCAAGTTTGGTTGGTTTGGTTCGGTTATGACAGTTTAATTTTATTATTAAGTCATTATACAATTTTAGTAGAGCAATTTCTAGTTTTATTTAATAAACAGAATTATTTTTTCTATTAATAAACTTTTGTTATATTATTTCATTATCAGCAAGTTTGGTTAGTTCGGTTAGGTTATGATAGTTTAATTTTATAATTAAAAAATAATAGAATTGAATTTGAGGCATTTATAATTTTAGTACCTGGGGACCGAGCTTTGCTCGGGGAAAATCATTAGTTTACTCTGAAAGCAGTCTTTAGTATTGCAGATACATAAATCCATTCCCAAACTCCGCAGTGCTCGCCTTTACTACTTCCATCACCACTCCCAACGTCGTGGACCTGTTTCCCCCTTCCCATTGCATCTTATAATTGCAGATACATAATTGTAATTTAGGCAGACAGTACCCATACTCTGCACTGCTAGCCTTACTACTTCCTTCACCACTTCTTACGTAGTGGACCTGTTTTCGAAGAACTATTTTTGCGATTAGTAAACCTTCTTTGCCAAAGTACTCTCTACTACAGCGCTGTTTACGGAGGAATTTTGAAATAATGCCTCATTCGTACCTCCCCTAAGTCAGACCCGTCCCCAACCCCAAGTGAAGTTCAGTCCAACTCAGTCCAAGTCCAAGTACACACACACACGCGCACACACACACAAACGTGTAAACGTAAAAGTAAGAGAAGAGAAGAAGGAGCAAGTAGGACTGAGCTAACTAGATTACTACCATTGACTATATACTATAAGACAGAAGACATTTATTGGTCTTTAGGCAAAATTACATGCAATCGATCTTGTCATGGACGCTTGAAATGCACAAGTCGGTTATAAGTACAATAGTATAAAACATGCTACACTAAAGCAAAAAAATAAGTGTTCATTCTAAAAAATTAAATGAGTGACTATTTTAGACAAAAAAACATCATGCAAAATTTATGGCGCTAAAGTCTGCTTCAAAATATTCTTTAAGGCTGTAGAAGGGCCTTACTATCAACCATGCATAGATCACATTTTTAAGACTACCTAAGCTAACATGCTGAGCTGATAAAGGCAAGCTACATCTAATGTATTTTCAATTATTGAAAATACATTAGATGTAGCTAAGGGACAACAACTCTGCTGGAAAAAAAATCGACACGCTAAATCATAAATCGTTTAACACAATGTTTAAACGAAGCCTTCTTCAAACGGTTATTAAGTTACATATTTGCTTTCATGAAACCAAAGAACACACTTTATTTTCTTGCACTCTAGTCATTTTGATTTTAAACTTAGGTCAGTTTAAATGTTTGATTCGTTAAACGTCATACGTGATTTTTAAGATCTTTGTTTTACTGAATAGCTTAAGGTACGTTTTGCCTGAAGCGACAGGTGCGACGGTCGCGCAGCGACCGTCGCTGAGCGGCAGTCGCGGGACACTGATCAAAGGGGTTTTGCATAGTCCTGTTTTGCTTGGAGCTACTGTCGCTAGAGCCGCGAGCTGCAGTCGCTGGGTACTGCTCCAAGACCAGTCAGGAGCGACAGTCGCTTAGCGACAGTTACATTTCTGATTGTTTTTATAGTCTACACCATTATGGCAAGTTCGGGAACGTTTTATTTTCGCTATATGGCGTCGGCCAACGGCTGTGATTAAGTTAAATTTTTAGTAGATTATTTAGATTGTCGACTTAAAAGACTCTAATTAAATTTTCGTTTAGGTGATTCAAACAAATATTGCTCTGTATAAATCTTTATTGATCAAATTGGTTTAAAAGTCAGGCGTGTCATATTTAAATATATAGAATGCCAATTATTAAAGTGATGTGGTTATTCAAATATTAATTGAGTATATCATGTAATTGGTATTTTATTCATTTACAATACAATCAATAAAATATAATTTTCACTCTGTGAGGAGGTTGTTTATAACACTGATTTCCAATTCAAGTTATGCTTGTGTACTGCAATTTACGGAGAAATTGAGTAATTTTATTACATTTTGGCTTGTGACATGGCAGTTTTGGAATGTTTCTTATAACAAATAACTAGGCCTACAAGGAATACTTAATTTGTTAAGTTTTACCTGTTTTACTAAGTGAATTTATCGATTTTATTTAGTGACTTTATACTTAGTGCGCACTTTTGAGGTTAGGTGCACTGACGGTACCACGTCTCGTGACGCCAAAGAAGTTGTCGCTCCAAGCAAAACAGTCTACCACCCCGCGACTGCCGCTCGGCGACAGTCGCTTAGCGACCGTCGCACCTGTCGCTTCAGGCAAAACGTACCTTTAAGGTACGTTTTGCTTGGTGCGACAGGTGCGACGGTCGCGCAGCGACTGTCGCCGAGCGGCTGTCGCGGGACACTGATCTTAGGGGTTTTGCATAGTCCTGTTTTGCTTGGAGCTACTGTCGCTAGAGCCGCGAGCTGCAGTCGCTGGGTACTGCTCCAAGACCAGTCAGGAGCGACAGTCGCTTAGCGGCAGTTACATTATTTCTGATTGTTTTATAGTGTACAACATTTTGACAAGTTCGATGACCTTTTATTTTTGCTGTAAGGCGTCGGACAACGTCTGGGATTAAGTAAAATTTTAGTGGTGAGAAAGACGAAAGAATAAAGGACAACGTCATGTTAGTTTAATATTATGTTATTATATTACAAGTTATATTAATATATTAGTAGAATATTTAGATTGGCGACTTTAAAGACTTCTAATGACATTTTCGTTTAGGTGATTCAAAAGTGTAGGTACTGCAAACTGCAATTTACGGAGAAATTGAGTAATTGTATTAAATTTTGGCTTGTGACATGGCAGTTTTGGAATGTTTCTCATAACAAATAACTAGGCCTATAAAGAATAATTTATTGTTAAGTTTTACCTGTTTTACTAAGTGAATTTATCGAATTTATTTAGTGACTTTATACTTAGTGCGCACTTTTGAGGTTAGGTGCACTGACGGCACCACGTCTCGTGACGCCAAGAAGAAGAAGTTGTCGCTCCAAGCAAAACAGTCTACCACCCCGCGACTGCCGCTCGGCGACAGTCGCACCTGTCGCTCCAAGCAAAACGTACCTATAACAGGATATTATTAATTAATGAGTGGAGGATATCAATATCGAAGGAAAAATTTTAGTAAACTTATTGTGTAATACTTCACTTCGTCAAACTATGAAAGCGACATTACATTCTAGCCATGTGTTTAATTTTACAAAACCGTGTTTAGGGTCTGTGTTATTGGGATTTAAAAGAGTTTCTACGCCTGGTGTTCAGTTTTAATCTACAAATAAAATAAACATTAATAATGTAAACGTGATTAGAGTAAAATGTAATATTGCAATATGGGTCTTATTTAAAAGGTAACAAATCACACACCATACACAGCTTTTATTCAGAAGCTCCACCTGGCTTTTAAAATAAATTCTTGAAGTTCTTGAAGACATATTATATATTTTTCTGTAAATAAGGGAAGTTTAGATGTTGTCAGTATTACCATAGATAAAACCACGAATACTAGAAAAATACCGGTATGGATCATAAACATAAACAAATGACGTTGTTGGCCCGAATCCTGTAATAGGATTGAACATATGTTTGGCAGTTCCATTTAAGCAATGTTAAATAATGTTTATTTTAGACCAAAAACGTCATTTGTTTATGTTTATGATTCATGGATAAAACATAGTCCTTACATTTGCGGATAAACATGACAAGCCAATTGACTTTTAATGGAAAGAAACTACAAAATACTTGTCATATAAAAATATATGACAAGTTATAAGAATGGGCTAAGTGTGCAAAAAACTAAGTTCCTACGATCAATAGGCCTAAAGCTAAAATTTTCTATTAATAAAAATGGAAGATTTTCTAGACGTTACATAGAAATCCCATTTTAACGATAATGAGGCTAAAATTACAAATCACTCCTATATGTACCCCAAATCATTTTGGCAATAAATAATTCTGATGAAATTCGAATATGTATTAATAATCAAGATTTGCTAACTCTCTCCTCATGTAGAAGTTACATTTACAAGTACATAAAAAAAATTGAGAATCATGATAAAGGCCATTTTATTATAAATAATGCATTTGCATTCTTATTTGACGAAGTTAGATACTAAGTTGCAGGTAAAGAAATTGAAATTGTATGAAGCCCAGGAATTTCTAGTCGTATTAAAATATTGAGCTCTTACAATAAAAATACTAAATTGTCAAATGTGGCATTTGATTCTGACACGAATTTAAAAGAGTTCTATAAAGGTGGCAACTTTAGTACTTGTGTCCCATTAGAGCTGTTAATGGGTGTGTTTATGAGCATTTTAATAAGGTTTCAGTAAATGTCAAAGAATTGGTGTTAAAAAGATCAAAAAATGATTTAATTGTATATAATTAACAACCACTAGTGCTCCAACCAGTGGCACTGCTGATACGATTCCAAAAATTACACTTTAAAAACTCAATTCAATGAGTGACTAGTGTACCTGTTGCTCGAATTCGAGCAATTGCGAAGCATTACAGGCGTTATTTTAAAACGAATAACGGTCATAATTTCCGATGACTTTATTAAAGTCGACTCAAAGATTATGGAAATACTCACGATGTACACAACAGTTAGATATAATACAATTTTTTTGTAAATATCTTATCTTTTCAAAAGCTGATCTTGTTTTTTTGGAGTTTTCTACAAATTTT